AGGGAGGGAGGGAGGGAGGGAGGGAGGGAGGGAGGAAGGAAGGAAGGAAGGAAGAAAGGAAGGAAGGAAGGAAGGGTGCGTAGTTATATCACATAGTCTTAAGAATTGAAAGAAATAATCCAATTAAGTAATATAGAACACAATCTGACCCATAAGCTTAGTTATTATGCTGTTTCATCATACTGACAGGATATTTTGATACTAATATTTAACATCTGTGTCAGCAATCTAATGATCAATACATGTAATAATGTTCAGCTTCTATTCTGTCTTTTCATACTACATTTTATTTAATGAGCAAAATAAATGATTGTTTACAAGACATGACTTTAACATATATGGCTTCACATTTTTAACCTATGCTAAGGAATAATTTCTTTTACTTGAAGAGATATTAGCATTCTATTCTCACTGCAGTAGTGTTCACAACAGCCAAGATGGGAAACAACCTAAATAACCATCTGCAGAAGCATGAGTTTTAAAAATACGATTTCACACACAATGGAATAGGAAATTCTCGAATATGTAACACAGATAAAATTTGAAGACATTATACTAAGCAAAACAACTGAGTCACATTAATAATTACTGTATTATTCTACTCACATGACTTATATTTGTTAGAAAAACAACATTCAAAAAAAGTATAAGCAGATACAAAAGCCAATAAATATCTAAAGGAAATAGCAGAAATCAAAATGTTAATTAAAAACGAGGTCATTAATAGGCTCAAAACAGTCAACTATAAGGAAATAATCAGAATAGAGTATCAAGAACTGTGAGTTTGTTTTTAAGTACAGTTGAGCTACCAGTAGGAGAATAGAGAAAAAAGGGAAAATAAATTTTTCAATCAATAGTGCTGGGACCATCCAGGAAATTAATCAAAATCAAGGATGCTCAGAGAACACAAAGCAGATCAAAACAACCTGTAATTCTGCATGTAACTACCACAACCAATAAACAGACCTGTGCATATACAGTCAAATTACAGACTCACACACACACACTGAATAGCCTTACTCACAAAAAAAGCAAGTGAAACATTTATTTCTCCTTAAAAATAATACTATCAAGAGAACAAAATGAAATATTTAGTGTTGAAAGGAAAATCATCTAGAATATGTTCAGCTCATTATCCTTAAAGACTTTAAAGGAGAGAAAATCAGGAAAAGGAGGGAAAAATCAGCTCTAAAAAAAAAATTTTGAGATGTTCTTCAGAATAAAAATAAGACAGGTAAGAAAAACAATCATTGAAGAAGAATTAAGTAAAAATAAAATGTAGGACCTGACACTGTAAAACTACTTGAAGAAAATAGGAGAAAGCTCCATGGCTTCAACAAAGATTTCAGTACAGACAACAACAACAGACAAATGGCACAGGAACCTCAAATGCTGCTGGTAGCAAACAATGAAAGGCACCAAGAACAGAAACAGCCTATAGCCTAAGAGAAAGCACTTACGATGCAAGTACTTTTCTCTACATGTAATAGGAAATTCCGATCAAGGCAGGGTGTGGTGGCACACTAATTTAATTCCAGCACTCTACAGTCAAAGGCAAGTGAATCTCTGTGAGTCCGAAGTCATCCTGGTCTACATAGTGAGCCCAAGGCTAGCTCAGGGATATATATTGAGACTGTTTCAAAAAGAAAAAAGAAAAAAAAAGTCGAAAATATAAAATACAGAAGAAACTTAACAGCAAGAAGAAAAAGAAACTTGATTTAAAAATAAATGAATGAACACTCCAGCCATAGAAGCAGGTAGGCTAATTGCAGCTCTTCACCTCTTTCTGCTCTCCTCAAAAACGAATCCCCTAGTCTCACCCCAGACCTGTCGCAGACTACCCACTGTGGCCTCCTCTACCTCTCCCCCATCTCCAGTGGAATACACAACTTCCCTCCAACCTTTCTTCCCCACTCACCACTTTATCCAAGTCCTCAAATCCAGCAGGCATTCCCTGGGAACCCACAGGCCACTCCTGCCAGATAAACGGTAGCCTAACTGTGGACCCTCCCTCTCTCTCCCTCCTCTACTCCAAATCCAATCCCCCAGTCTCACCCCGTCTCTGTAGCAGGTCATCTGCTGCCCACATCTCTAGCATATCAGAAAGATGTTCTCCTCAGATCTTCCCCACTCATCCTGTTATGCTAGCCTCCTAACTTTAGCACGCATTCCCTTGGAAACCCTCCAATCAACTTTGCAGAGAAGCGAGTAAGCCAGGGAAGCAGGCAGGCAAGCTTCAGATCTTCACTCAACCTTCTCCCTTCCAAATCCAACCCCCCATCTCCTGCTGATCTCTGTAACAGACTACCTGTTGTGGCCTCTCCTCACTCTCTGCTCCCATTTCTAGAGGAATAAGCAGATCCTGGTAGAACACCATGCTTTCTTTCTCCTGTGGACTCCCTTAGGCTCCTCCCAACTCATTCCCATTTCTAACTGACAGCTCCCAATACCTAGGAACAAATTTTACCTTGAACCCCCAGTGGCTACACCTAGCAGAATCCCAGAATTCCTTATCAGGCAATATGGGGCCACAACATACTCCGCAGAGTGATAGGTACAAAACATGTACCAAAGACAAGACCAGATATCAACACCTAGAATTTCAACTACCCCAAGCAGAGGAGGTTAGACTCGAGTGTAAAAACTAACAGGCAGGGAAATCTGTCTCCACAAGCACAGAGCAACTCTAGCACAGTGGGGACTGAGAACATCAACATCACTGAAGCACAAGACAAAGACTTAAAACAGCCTTCTGACTATGAGAAAGGTCCTTCTGGAGGAAATGACTAAAACCCTGCAAGAAATCTATGAAAACACAAACAAACAATGGGAGGAAATGAAGAAAACACTTCAAGACCTAAAGTGAAAAAAGGATCAATAAAGAAAACCCAAACTCAGGGAAATCTGGAAATGAAAAATTTAGGAATTCAAACAGGAATCCCAGAGGCAAATCTCACCTACAGAATACAACAGGTGGAACATAAAATATCAAGCACTGAAGACACAATACAAGAATGGCTACCTCGGTCAAAGAAAAGTTAAATCAAGAAGAAAAAAGTCTTGTCAAAAAACCATTAAGGAAATATGAGACACTATGAAAAGACCAAATCTAAGAATAATAGGAATAGAGGAAAGAGAAGAAATCAAAGCACAGCCAGTCAGTGGTGCACGCTTTTAATCCCAGTACTCAGGAAGCAGAGGCAGGTAGATCTCTGTGAGTTCAAGGCCAGCCTGGTCTGCAAACTGAGTTCCAGGATAGCCAGGGCAGTCACACAGGAAAACTCTGTCTTGAAAGACAAACAAACAAAAAGTAAGAAAGAAAGATGAATTACCAGTCAACATGCAGGAACATGTTTATTACTTCAAAACCTCCACTAAAGTGTAAATTAAAATCACAATGTGACATGGCCCATTATCTGGAAGAAAGATACTATACCAAAAGATTAAAATCCTTCTTTCCAAGGATTTGGAGAAAAGGGAAATACCATATGATACCAGTATGATCACCATATGATATGAGTTGTCATAGGCATTACGGAAAACTATACAGTATTACTTCATAAAACTAAAAATAAAATTGCCATATGGTTCAGCATTTCTACTTCTAAATACAGACTAAAAGGATTTGAAATGAGTTATGTTGGAGAGTTAAATGCATCCATTGTTCCCTGCAATATTATTCATAATAGCTCTGTTAAAATGCAACTAAAATGTCTATTAATGGATAAATAAATAAAATGTATATTTTCATAATGGAGTGGAACCCTAGTATCTTAAAAAAAATTATTACTTGTAACAACATGAATGAACCAGGAGAACATTATGCTAAGTGAAAGGCAGAAAAAGACAAATACTTCATCATTCTACTTACATGCAGAATCTACAATGCATCTTATACAAGCAAAGGACAGAATGGTGGCTACCAACACCTGGGGGTAGGACAGTGGGGAGACACTGACCAAGGAAGAATGTTTATGAGATCTAATGCACAGCAATGGTTACTGGCTTCTTTAAAAAGACAGCTGTGTATTTTATACTCATAAAGAGTAAATTTCAAATGTTTTCACTATAAAAAATTAAGTATTTGAATGACTGATTGTGTTGACTAATGATTAACTTGACAGAATCTAGAATTACCTGAGATAGATCTCTAGACATGCCTGTGGAAAGGATTATCTTGATAATATTAACTAAGGTGGATAAACTCACCTAAATTAAAATGCAAAATAAGGGGTGAAAACAAGCAGAGGGAGACAAAGGAACAGAGGAGAAAGTGAGAGATATATCACTGGGTAAATGCTTTACCTGCATGGCCCAAGTCCCACTGCTTAGAACATCATAGCCAGTAATGCTGGCACCCTGCACTAACTTCAAATTCCTGAGTACTCAGACAATGTATATTTGAGTTGAAGTTAACATCACCGAGATTTGTTACTTGTAATCACATATGTATCAGAATATAATATCTGTAATATTCTCATGTTAATTATAGTTGGGAATACACATTAATTTTACCAGTTTGGTGGATGGATAAATCTTATCCTTTACTACCCTCCTTTTGTCCTACCAAGTATCTCTTTTCCTTTCCTGGAATCTCCATGCAATAGATATCAAAGTTACCTTGGTGAAGGAGTTGAGCTCGATAGGCTGGAAGGGAAGTTGTAAGAAAGGTATGGAGTCGAACAGCCAAAAGAAACTTTAATCCACATTCATCTAGAGTTTCTCCACCTATAACCAGGAAAAAGTGTTGATTTTTGTGTTAAAAAAAAAAGTAAGTAAATGAAATACTAAAAACTATTTTATAAGTATAAATACTAAAATTTTTTACAATCATCATATGTCACAATACCATATATAAGAACAAAACATTCTTAAACTGGAAAAAAGTTTATTACTCCAAAATACTTTCTAATATTTTTGTAAACAATTTTTATATTACAGGGAAAACAGCAGAGCTAAATAACTGAAGATGAGAATGAACTGACTTAAAGTCTATGAACATTCTTTTTTTATAATCTGACCTCCTTTGATCTGAATCATTTAATACTTTCTATGGTATGTTAATAATAATGCTTACTATAATGGATTCAAATCATATCCACATCCCAAGAACCAGTTGTAACACTGAAGGAAATGGTTTTATAAACAGTATGGTAATTAAGTCCTGATTTTTCCTTTATATGATTAAAAATAACAGTAACATACTCCTATTAAACATATTAAAATAAACATATTTACATAAAATTAACATCTACTAGTAATACCCTCAAAAGTATAAACTAATTTTTTTAATTTAAAACTTTTTGTGTCAAATTTAATCCTTATTTTCTTGCCAAGTTTAGTTAAATGGTGAATCCTACTAAGCAATATATCTGGTTTAAAATAATGGACTTGCTAATTTTTAGACTCTGCTTGAGATATGATGGAAAATTTCCATTTCTATGTGCTCAAAGCCTAGATGCTTAAAAAAATGCTCTCTGGGTAATGAAAAGATCAAAATCTGTTGTCTTTGTATTTGTTATTCTAGGCAGGAGTACACAATAACACTAATTTTTCAAAAATCATGAATCATACTGTAATATTCTTCAGTAGATTATTCCCACATAAGGAAAAAACAAAAACACTTCATTTCAGCTACTTAAAATCTGTACTTCTGCTAAACTCATAGGGGTTCAGTTGGATCTTTTGTACTGAGCAGACAATTTTTAATGATGACTGCTATGAATTCCTGAAACATGAATTTTTTGCAATAGTTTTTAAACGGCCCTCATAATACCACTTTTATTAAAAATTACATAAGATCATTTTCTATAAAAATATTTCTTCCCATCATGTAGAGTTTACTCTTACCTTGACTTCTGTCCCTGCTTTCTCCAATATCAGTGCTTGTAGTTGCAATTGTATCTGCTAAGGCCATCAACGACATCTGTTCCATCCGGGTGAGCCCTGGTAAACTAGAATGCAGTAGATGGCCAGAAAGAACTTGTGCATGCTCAGGACCAAAGTAAGTTGGACTGTATTGTGAAAGGTCAATAACTCTGGGCTTTGTATCTTCTTCATCTGTCTCTAGCATGTGACTATCAGACATCAGAACTGAAGTTTGGAAAAGCTCATCATAACTTTCTTTTGATAACTTGTTTTTTTTCCTTACGGAACTTTCATTACTCAATTTCTCCAAAGATGAGCAATAGCTGTCATCATCCGCTGCAAGTAAGGCATATAAAGGAAGTGGAGGGACAGAATCGATCTCTGTGTAATCTGTGTTTTCAGTTTTGTTGAACGCCTGAGGGTCTCTGGTGGTGCTTCCACTAGCACTGATGGTGAGAGACCGAAGGCGGCGCTCATGATTGGATTCAGTTTCATTTAGAGCCACAACTTCCCCAGCAATGCATTTTACAAGATGTGACAAGATAGCCTTGGCTCTCCGGACTTTGCCAAGATCCATGAGTTCTAAAAGTTGCAAGGGATGGTACTGAGGTAAAGTTGGGGAAAGTACATGAGCTGCTTCAAAAAGACCAGAATCTTCCATATCCACTGAAGGGTCAAACGTAGTTTTCTTTCCACAGATTTTCTGTGCAAGACTAGTCATAGATCGAGTAAGAGTTTTCTTTGGAGGATGTAGCCCAGAACTTGATGAGTTACTTTGTTTTATTAAACTTAGTATAGATGGAGTGCTTCCATTGTATGAATCTGTTGTAACAAGTTCTTGTTTATAAGATGGCTGCCACTGGGAATACACATGCATTTCACAATCCATTCCTACCACAAGGATGCCATCCCGGACCCATGATAAAGAAACAGGAAAAGGTGGGGCACCTTCTACAGAAGAAACCAAGTCCACACTTCGTAATAGTACAAATTTAGAAAGAGGTACAATTTTAGTGCTCTCCCAGAGAGGAAATGTCTGGTTCTCCTTACCAGTTTGTTCTTGCACCTTGCCAGCCAGGGGTCCATACATAAAAAGTTTTGAGCCAATTCCAACAGTCAAGATATGAGAACCATCTTCTCTAGACATCCAATCTAAGTGAACCAAATGTTTTGTGTTTGATGTAATACTTTCTTTACTGCATAAATATGCCTCTTGCTTATTATAGGCCACTAAATTGCTATCAATACTAATGCCAGAATCCAACACTGTATTTAACTCATCTAAATGAATTGTTTGTTCAAGGACCCAACATGAACCTCCTGTCGACTCACATTCAAAAATACTTACGTGCATCACAAACTCCTGAGATTTACTATTAGATGCAGGCTGCTTATAGGCTACTGCTAAACGATTAGTATGTGCACAGCTCACTTCTACAGGCCTACCAGGTACAGTTATACTACTATTGCTCTGAAGTCCATCTTCAATGAGTAATGGCCATTCTTCCCAGATATACACAAGATCTGTTTTTCCATTCTTTGATGAAGCTGATTCTCCATCTGTTACTCTGCATCGCCAAAATCTTACTTTATCATCTGAGCACGAAGTTGCCAATAAATAAGGGGCACTGCATGCAGGATATATGGAAGATGAACTCAGGTGTCCTAGAAAGAAAATGAGCCATTAAAAATTTTTGATAATTATTTATATTTTCTATGTATTCAAAGTTTTAGCTGTTTTGCTGAAAACTACTGTTAAGAACATGAGAGTTGCTGGGCGCTGGTGGCGCACGCCTTTAATCCCAGCACTCGGGAGGCAGAGGCAGGTGGATCTCTGTGAGTTTGAGGCCAGCCTGGTCTACAGAGCGAGATCCAAGACAGGCACCAAAATGTGTGTGTGTGTGTGTGGTCTCAAAACAACCAAAAAACCAAAAAAACAAAAAAAAGAAAGAACATGAGAGTCTGAATTTAGTTTAAGACTCATGATCAGGCTCTTAATGACACCAATAAGCTTTATACTACAAGGCTGGTTAGATGACTTGGTGAGTAAAAGTGCTTGCTGCCAAGCTTGACAACCTGAGTGAGTTTAATTCCCGAATGCACACAGGGAAGAAAAGAATAGACTAACTCAAGTTGTCCTGAGTTCCATATATGTGTTCATGCAGACACACACACACACACACACACACACACACACACACCTGAGTTCCATATATGTGTTCATGCAGACACCCAAACACACACACACACACAAACACACACACCTGAGTTCCATATATGTGTTCA